GAGAGTAATTTTCTTGGCATGCCATGACTTGCACTAATTCAAAAGAGATAATCCCAGAAGAATCACTGACTTCGTAGTTCCCAAACCCAGATAATGTTCCAAGTTTTTTTTTTATGACAGTTTAAAACTTTATTAAGAGAATCTTAATAGTCAAGTAGCTAACATAAGAACATTTTGCAGAGTTTCAGCTTGTCTTTGTTTAAAACCGGATTGTCCTTTTCCTGAGTAATTCGGTTAAACTCTCTCAAGTTTTAAAGTAATTATTTGTGTCCTTCTCTTAAAGGTGGTTGGGCCATATGACTAATTCCCAAACTAGTAAAAAATGAGATCCTTGAGAAGTCTGTTACTCATGATACTGGCATTCATAATAGATCCAAAAGGATACTAGTCCAGAAGGACTGATGTATAACTCTTTGGTTTTTAAAATGCCTGTTCTGCAGTTTTTTAGGGAGCAATAATATATAGCAGGTAAATGATTTTGTTCTGGATCAGACTTGGACTTGAATTTTTACGCTACCCCTAACTACCTGTGTATGTTACTTTACCTTCTAAGCTTTTATTTCCTTATCAATAATACAAGTTAACAATGGTACTTATTTCATTGGTTGTTGCTAGGATGAAATAAAATAATACGTGTCAAGCACAGAGCACCACTGCTCAATAATGTTATCTAGTTCATGCCTTTACATTGTCCTACAAAAGGCCACAATCACCAGCAAGAAAGCCAAACACTGCCTAGCCTGCCTGCCTGTGAACTATGAGTGGAGTTGCACTCCACAGGGTGATCCCAACGATTGTAAAGTTCAGCTCTCTAGATTTCTGCTCCCTGACGGTCTCTTTCAGGGTCTCAAGAGGTTCAAGAGATAGATTCAATAGCACCTTGGCTACTTAATAATAATCACTTTTAAAAATAAAAATTCAGGTAACTTCCTTTAAGCAGATCCTTTAAGAGGAAAGGAAACTGAGACCATCTTACATGTTTTTAAACCAATTTAATTTTGTCATTCCCGCGTGCTTGCTCACATTTTTGTTCTCCTCCTGGTAACAAGCTCCCTTGTCTTTGATTTTCCAGTGATCGGCACATTGCTGGCATGCACCAAGCCCTTACCAAAATTTTTTTGGAAGAAATATTGACAGCTGGATGGAATGAGCTGAGGAACCAATATAAGATAAACATATATGCCCATGACTCTCAGGGTATTTTCTTGGGACCATGATTTCCCGCCCTTCTATCCAGACCCTTCCAGGGATAAGACTATTACCAAGGCAGAGAATCATTTTCTCTAGTTTCTTTTCATTGAGGAATTAAAGCCGATGTAGATCTCATTCGGTACACTCAGTTGAGCGAGGACTATAACTAGATCCTTCTATCACCCAACTGAAATTTTGTTTCATGCCCCATTGTTGTGTCTAGGACACTGTGGAGTCTGGGATTCATCTAGTCCTTGGACATTGCCCATCTGGGCCGGCATCCCGGAGAGGCCCTCGTCATCAGGCACACCGGTATCCTCACTGGTACCTGAAAAGTTCCTTCCAATGCAACGCTCCTTCTGCTCTGTCCCAGAATTGGCTGTGTCCTCAGTCTTCCACTGTTTTCCCTTCCTTGAGGCAGTAGACAGAAATGTCCTAGGTGATTTATGAAGGAAGGACAAGGCAGGTACATAGAAATGTGTAAACGCACCAACAAAACTACTTGATATTTCAAAATTACTCTGCCACATAGATCGTTCAAATTAAGATGAATTGGACAAGGGGAGCACATACCCGTGTGCAAATAGCCTGCCTGGCTCCCAGGTACGGGATTGTTGCCGAAGGGGAGGAGACATTGGTAAATAGACTGGGCTTGTATAAGAAGCAAACAAAACAACAAAGTGATGCATTTAGAGCTATCCAAAAATAGAAATAGCTGCTTCAGTAGCCGTTGGTTTCCTGGACAGAAAATATTTAGCTGAGGCTCAGTGCTCGTTTAAGCGGATGCTAGGGAAGAGATAAACGGCTTGAGAGAGGGTTGGAATAAATTGTCTAATGTTTTCCCAACTGTGGAAGTTTTGTGATTCTTTAGGAGTTTTTGTGCATGTGTGCACATGTGTGCATGTATATGGGCATGTGTGTCTTGCTTTCAGTTTGATGTTGTGGTGACAAGTCCCCCAAGTCTGTGCTATTGCCTTATTGTGTGACCTCAGGTGACATTCTTCACCTCTCTGCCTGTTTCTTTACCTATAAAATTGGGATAATAATGTTCACTGTGTGTTTGTTTGGTGGATTGAATTTAGGTAAAACTCTGCATTGTAAGTACTTGATAACAAGTAGATAAATCTTGATAGAAAGGCTTACCTAGATGTAACTGTTCGGTCATCCCAAAACTTGTGAACACTGCCATATTCAAGGCTTCTAGAAACAGTACATTTCTTTGCAAACCTGGGCCATTTTTTAAAGAAGTGCCACTTGGACTCAGATATTAATTATAATGATGATTGCAGCTGGGTTCCCAGAGCCCTTGTGCCTTCACATTTCCACAAGGGGAGTAGACTTGCCTCCCAGATGAGGAAACTGAACCCAGCTGATGATTGACAGAGCCTTCATTTGAGGTCAGATAATTGGCTCCAGAGCCTCTGTCATCAACCACTGCACTCAGTCTGCCACTGACCTGTGGTGTGTGTTAGTCAAGGTTCTCCAGAGAAACAGAACCAACAGGGTGTGTGTGTGTGTGTGTGTGTGTGTGTGTGTGTGTGTGTGTGTGTGGAAAGAGAAGGGGTTGGGAGAGAGATTTTAAGGGATTGGCCCCTGTAATTGTGGAAGTATGATAAATCGAAAATCTGCATGGCAGGCTGGAGACTCAGGGGCAAAGTTGCAGTTCAAATCCAGAGGCAGTCGGCTGGCAGAATTTCTTCTTGTTCCTGAGGTCAAGACTGTGTTCTATTCAGGCCTCAACTGACTGGACAGGGCCCACCGGCATTATGGAAGTAATACACTCTACTCACAGTCCACAAATTTAAATGTTAATCTCATTCAAAAAATATTTTCAGCAGAAACATCCCGAATAATGTTTGACCAAATATCTGGGTAACCCATGGCCCAGCCAAGTTGACACATGAAATTAACCGCCACATTGTGGTTCTCCACAAAAATTCTTTCTACTTCCTCCCTAGTTTCCCCTGTCCTGGCAATCAGGTTGATTCTGGCAAGCGGGTTGATTCTGAACACAACTTTTGAGATTCTAAGATAAAAAGTGCTGTATTAAGACGTAAGTTTTCTACTTCCTTCTTCTCCACTCCCTAACCCCTTTTTCTCTCCCCCCCCCCCTTTCTGGGAAAAGAAGGAGGTTAGAGAGAGAGGGAAGTTTCAACAGGGATAGTTTTGCAACATGATACCACAGTACCACGGCATGTTGTAACACTATGATGCCTGAGGCGAATGAATCTAAAACACAAATTCCATTTTAAGTGCATTCGCTATATGATAAATCAGCATTTAACACATCTTGGCAATTTGATGTCTTTATAGGTACTGCTCTTCTTCCTTCTCAGGTATGAAATTTTCAATATGTAACAGAGTTTGAAGAATTAAAGTTGAGCCCCTAGTTTCCTATGGAGGAACTTGACAATCCGTTCACATACAATTATTGACATCATGGCCTTATTGCAAAAGGGACTGCTGGACCTTGGGCAGCTATAATGGCCGCCTTCTCAGTCCCTTTGGCCAGCAGTACATTTGCCTGTTCAGATAGGGATAAGAGGTAGTGCTCTGCTCTCCAAGTGGAAAGTCATAGGCCTTGAATGGCAAGTACAGAAAGAAGGCTGCCTGTTGAAACATTTGTGACAAGTTCCCATGGCCAGCCTGCCCTGGTTATGATCATATTTTGGAACAAATGCTTCAGCTGAAAAGGCAAAAGATAATTTCTTTTTTAAAAATTTTTCTTTTAATGTTTAATTTTTGAGAGAGAGGGAGAGAGAGAGAGAGACAGAGCATGAGCAGCAGAGGGGCAGAGAGAGAGGGAGACACAGAATCCGAGGCAGACTCCAGGCTCCAGCTGTCAGGACAGAGCCTGCCGTCGGGTAGAACTCACAAACCATGAGATCATGCATGACCTGAGCCGAAGTTAGCTGCTTAACCAACTGAGCCACCCAGGCACCCTAAAAGATAATTTCTTAGTATCAAATCAGACCGAAAGTATAGTTGCTAATTGTTACATGAGTAAGTTATGGTAAGTTACTAAAAAACAATATTGACCTAACTGGCAAAAAAAAAAAAAAAAAAAAAAAAAACCTTTTGAAATCAATTTCCATTCAAAATCACCAAAATGCACAAATTAATCAAATATCCATCTCCTGGTGGATGGGTAAACAAATTTTCGAATATCCATGTCATGGAATACTACTTAGAAGTAAAAAACAAACAAACAAACAAACAAATTGCTACTACATGGAGCTACACGGATATATCTCAAAAGCCTTACACTAAGTGAAAGAAGCCAGACACAAAATGCTATGTGGTGTATGATTCTCCTAATATGATATTCCAGAGAAGGCAAAACTAGAGGGAAGATGAGCGATTGCCAGGGGCTAGAGATGGCAGGAAGGGGTTGACTCCAAAGGGGTATGAAGAAACTTTTTGGGGTGATGAAAGTATTCTGTATCCTGATTGTGGTGGTGGTCACAAGACTGCAGGTGTTTGCCAAGATTCATAGATCTGCAATACCTAAAAAGGGTGAATTTACTATATAGAAATTACGCCTCACTAAATGTGACTTCCGAGAAAGAGGTGTATGATCGTGCAAGTGTCCGGAGAGAGAGAAAGACCACGATTCCTGGAAAATGAAGAAGGGCAATTCTGAAAGCCTTACTGACCCTGCATGCTCTCCCAGACCTCAGGTGAGCAGAAAGGAGAAGGAAGGGAAGCAGCAGAGGGCAAGCCCTGTTCTCCACCCAATTCTCAATACTTCTGCCGAGTTTGCCAGTGCCTGGGTTTATTTATCAAACCCTCTCCCTATCTATTTGAAGGTTGAAAACATCAAGTCAGTGTTAACCTTGCTGCACGAAGATGCTGCAGGCATGGTCCCCCAGGAAGAGGAGCCTCATTCTCATTCCGGCTTCAGAAGGGCACTAAAAGCACGTCAACCGAGTGAGTTTGGTTGCCCTCTTTCTATGCCTGGACTGCAACTCAAGAAGGTAGAGTGGAGAGGCAAATAATAAATTAAATAAAATGAATGAATGAATGAATGAATGAATGAATGAATGAATAAATAAGGCGTGTTTCTCATTTGCCTTGAAAAGCTACAAAAGTCAGGGGCACTGCTCCTAAGTTAGCAAAGGAGCTTCGGGGACAGCGATGTGTCACTTTAAGTGCCAGCCCAAGTTACAATTGGATTACAAGGCAGGCACTGTTAGCAGAAACAGTATGGTTAAATCCCAGTTACTGTAAGAAGGTGAAGGGAAGTGAAATAAGAGGTTTGACCGGTGGGAAGGGGGCGTCAAAAGAAATATAAGAGCATCTAGGTCTTTCCGATGGAAGGGAACACCTCAAATTGCATCACCGGTAGCTAGAGCTACTGAATTACCTCCGGAATATAATTTAAACATTTCCTTTCCCGGTGCCAAGCATGCCCCTCATTGGCTCGGAGTTTTGCATCTGCTTTTTTCTCTGCAAAATGGGGTCTTCCCACAGGGGAATGTGTCTAAGTCATTCGAGCAGCTCTGACCTACTGTTGCCTTCATCGTGAGTGTAGTCTGTACTTTGCTTTGAGGTCCTGGGAACAATACCATTCATCATGATCACCAAGCTGTTTATCACCCCAGTCTGTACTTTGTGTAAGTGGTAAATTACTGCCTTTTCTAAGCGGTGTGCTCTTTTCTTCCTCCAAATGAGACCAGCTACCTGAGTGAATGGGACAGTGAGCATGTGAGCACTGTGTGAGGCACTGAGCGAGAGGTAGGGAGAGGATTCCTTTTACAGAGGAATCCATTACAGCCAGTAAGAGTGCTACTGTTACCAGATAAACCTAACTTCCAAGGCACAATCTGCTTGTCCTGTCTCTCTCTCCTCTGCTGTTTCCCTATAACCTAGCTCTACACTAATGTCTTCTGACCCCCACCAGCAACCTTCCGAGTAGAGAGCTATAAGGTGAAAAAGAATATATATTCTTCGTAATGTCTGGAACTTAACTTTCTATGTTCATGCTATGCTAGGTGCTTTCTATGTGTTCTTTCATTTACTATTAATCACATCCCACGAGGAAGGTACTATCAGCACTCCCATTTGTCAAACAAGGATACAGAGACCTAGAGAAATGAATGAACTTGCTGAAGGGCACTCTAGAGACTAGAGGTGATAGTCAACCTCACACCAGTGCCAAAGCGGGAGTTCTTGTCTGCTAAGCAAATACTGCTCTATCCTTCTAAAGCCAATCCATTCCTTTCAGAAGTAAGGGGCATCTCTAAACGTTGCCTTCTGTCTTCCCAGAATATGCAGGATATATGGCTGGCGCTGGCCTAGATTCAGAGACAAGCTCCACAACTTGATGAGTGTGTGAACTTGTGTGAGCATCTTGCTTTCCCCAACTCTGTCCACTGTAAAATTGGAATACTGATGCTTCTCTGATGGAATTAATTTAGAGAATAAATGTGATAGTATGTATAAAAATAGCAAATGGCACTTTTTCTGCAAAGAATAATTCCCCCCAAAAGTTTAATTATTTGCCACTCCTATCTGTTGTAAGTTGACATGAAAAGAAGGCTGGACACATTTAAAGCAACTGATCGGTGTTTTTCAAACTTTTAGAGGTTTTCAAATACCTTAAATCTGGTTAATGTATCGAGTGGTATACTGGGAAGGAGGGAACAAAGTCAGTATTGCCTTCTGCATAACCACCATGTTCTCAAGAAAAACTACTCCAAGGAAAATATCAAGACCGATATTGGGCAAACCTTCCCATGCACCACCCCCACCTTCTAAGTCCTGCCCTTGCATGAAATCTTGATTTATCTTCATATCAGAAGCTGGAATCTTATTTGTTTACAGTGACTACATCCCATGAAAAGACATAAGTTAATTGAAAATTGTAATAACACTCAAAGGATCTCAGAGTTAGAGTAATTTGTATACAGCATTAGGAAGCGCCTACTTTTTAGCCCCATGCAATGCAGGAAGCTCTTCTATAAAATCTTTTTTTTTTTAAACATTTATTTATTTTTGAGACAGAGAGAGACAGAGCATGAACGAGGGAGGGTCAGAGAGAGAGGGAGACACTGACTCCGAAGCAGGCTCCAAGCAGTCAGCACAGAGCCCGACACAGGGCTCGAACTCACGGGCCGTGAGATCATGACCTGAGCCGAAGTCAGACGCCCAACCGACTGAGCCACCCAGGTGCCCCTCTTCCAACTCAAGTCCATACATTTTACCAGTGTTGGGAGCTTGCTGTCCGCATCCATAAACTTACTGAGCCTCCTTATAATTTACCCTCACGAGTCCTAGCTTTCGTCTACACAAAGGCCTACTTCCATATTACCCTCTATCACATATAGGTGGAATATAATCCTGCTGCTCCCCCCTTTCCATGAAACCCTCTTTTCTGGGTGATACAGCTTCCAGACTCTTACTGTTTCTCATCAACAGTGTCCAGACTCTTTGGCTCTGCTAGGCCTTAGCTCTGCCCAGTAGCCCATCACCCAACACTGCAATGGCGCTAAGATCGTACCGACTTTTTTTGGCAAGCCATCAGTTTGCTGTCGGCTTAGCACTGAGCTTGTAATGTTAGAGACTGCATAAGGGACAGATGAGGCCCCTGGCTCAGAAAAGTGGTGATGTGAACCAGGTGTGTGTGGTGGGCTTGGCCAGGGGGCAGAGAACCTGGGCTGTTGTCAGCACCCTGAACATAGGCCATGGTGTCTGTGGCAGGACAAGCCTATGAGACTGATACAGTATATAAAATCCAGAAGGCCAGTGGATTAACTTAGAACGAGTAATAATTGTTTCAGGACCCAGAAATGACTTGGATTCAACACAATTTATTTTTCCTTCTTTCACACAAAGATATCTTGGAATTCTTAGATGTCTCCATGAAATCTGTCCACCGCACAGTATTCATCTACCAGCATGCTAATCCACTGAATCCCTTTTCTGGTTCTTTATATTAAAATCACAAGCTTCTGCTGTTCTCTCAGGCATCCTGTGTGCGTAGACAGCAACAGAACGATCCAGGTAGAGAATAAACTCAAGAGGACAGACTTAGACTGAATATATTCTTGGCAAAGATTGGCAGGGAAACCATCAAAGACTCTAAAACACACGTATGGCTCCTCTTACATGGAAAGCTCACTCCTACAGGTTAAGAGGGATGTAAAATGAGTGTAAATCGGGGTTTCTGACCTTTGGGCTGACTGACAAGGCAAGAGCAAGAAAGAAAACTGTAAAATGGGGAAGAACAATGAAACAAGATGTGGAAGTAATGAAGGGGGACCAATATAAATGATATAGGAGGTCACAGGTGGAGAACAAGAAGAACGAGGTGTGGGGGCAATGACCTCAAAATGAACTTTGCAAGATGAATAGAATTTAGATGGGGGCAGCAGGGTGAGTAAAGAGCTTTATAGGTGGAACTGATTAAAATAAAAAATATGGAAGGAAAAACTCATCCGTAGGGTGAATGCATCTGTCAACTGAGGACAGATTTAAGGAGGCATGTCTACAGTGCACTGGTCTATGGAAGCTTAGGGAAAGACCCAGAGAGATTTGAGGAAATCAGAGTGGTGAGAGAGTATGAACTGCTTCCCGGGAGCCCAAGGAGGAAGTCGAATTATCTTTTGAAGGTAGAAAAATGACAGCATTTGGAAGAAGTAAATTAAGTATTACTTTGCAAGGTAGTCGGAAACCTTATAGACCTATATAGACTTTATATAACCTCATAGTTAATACACACTTGATAGGTTGTTAAGAGAAATGAGGGAGTGTCTGTATGCTGATCTAGTATTAGCATCCCAAAGGGCAACAGTATCTTTTCTTTTCTTAAGTAAATGAGATCACTGTCCCATGATAGGACCCAATGTAGCCAGTCTTGAGTTATATCTTAGACTGGAGATCTCACGACACGCGGATGACATACATTTCTGAACACAAACGTTTTCTAATGGCCTCATCCCCCAAATAGGGTCATTTCCTGCTTAAAAAAGGATCTGGTTTTCTTTGAAATAGTTTGTATGCTAACAGGAACTGCCCTTATTTTCTTTCTCTATGGTCTTGGAAAGCCACTGCACTTTCTGGTCTGTACATTCCTAGATATGCCTCTTGAAAAGTCTTAAGTAATGGAATTTGGGGCCAGTGTTGAGAAGATCTTTCTGGTTTACTATAACATTGGATAAAAATAAGTCTACTATTAACATGCTGTTTTCATAGATGTTTATTTTTGTATGTGTATCAATCACCTCAGAGTATCTCAATTCTAGTCACTTTCTCTTTCTATTCCATAAAGAGCCCAGGAGCTATTGCTACATAATACTAATAACAAGTTCCAAAGTCAGTCCTGAGTCTTTATTCCGCAAAAAAAAAAAGATTTGCTTTTTTATTTTTTTTAAGCTCATTTAATATGGGCCTCAACAGGCGCCTGAGTGGCTCAGTAAAGAGTCCGACTTCGGCTCAGGTCATGATCTTGCAGTCTGTGAGTTCGAGCCCCGCATCGGGCTCTGTGCTGACAGCTCAGATCCTGGAACCTGCTTCAGATTCTGTGTCTCCCTCTCTCTCTGCCCCTCACCCACTTGTGCTCTGTGTGTGTGTGTCTCTCTGTCTGTCTATTTTAAAATAGACATTAAAAAAAATGACAACTCCAAGAACAAGAGTCACACGCTCTACCAACTGAGCCACCAGGCACCCCAGATTCTAATTTTTTAAACATTTTTTTTTATTAAATTAAGGTTTTTTGGTGAGCGGGAGAGATGCGCCTCTTAGCAACATTTTAGTTTTAAAATATTGAAATTCTATGAGAACGACAGCGCATGATTTTTATCATGCTTCCTTTCTTCTAATAGAGAAACAGAAATAAACACATTGGAGACTTTGATATTATGTTTAAATGACAAGACATTTAGATTTCTTACAAAAATGTAAAGAGAAAAACAGTGTGTCTGGTGGCCGGCGGGGGTTGGGGGTGGGGGCGGGGCAGCCGAAGCAGACATGGGCACGAAGAACAGTGTCTTCAGTCACTGTGGTTTAGGGAATAAGGAAATGCCAAAGGAGAAGCATATTTGGCTCACACTTGGAGAAACCAAAGG